AATGGCAGAGGCATAGGGTGGTCAAAGTTACCCCAGCCCACAGGACAGCACATACCGACATGTATGTGTGTCCCTAGATTTTACAAATGAGAATGTTGGAACCTAATTATGTTGATTACAAGAATAGATGTTGTACATATTACACCTTTTAATCAAATATCTGAAAATACACGGTCTTATAAAATCTCAGATTTTGCTTCCTTTTCCTTCGTTTTGTTTCTATCAGTACACCTCGAACGACCATCGATAACTAGGACCGCAAGCGAATGTCTTTCAAATGTGCGACGACACTTAAACTGGTCTCGTCATGGGCGCACGTCGACGTCGTCGCGTGTACCTTCCAGTAGACGTCCAAGACCGGCAGGTAGCTGCCCAGGTGCGCCCGCAGCTGGGTGGGGGCACCGCGTCGAGCCGCCCGGGCAGGTGCATTTTTTTCCTGCTTGCTTTCCGTCCGTGACTTGACTAAACGCTTGCCTGCCCGCGAGCAAGGCCAGGCCGGCCCCCCGCCGCCCCCGGCCTGGGGGCGACGCCCTACAGCACACCGCGACGCGCACCGCCACGCACCCCGCGGCCCCCCGCGCCGACAGCCACGTCATGGCGGAGGTAGCGCACCTAGCGCCCATCTCCCGTCTGTTTTGGCACGACGGACAGACGCAGCGGGTTGTTCCTCGGCGCGGCCCACACTTTCCGTGCAGCGCATCATTTTTGCGGTACTTCCCTCTTTCCGTCCGATAGACACAGTCTTGGGGACTGTCTAAAAATCATGACTGGATAGGTAAGTGAGGCCTTGGCAAAAACGCAACGATCGAGAACGATCTCAAAGCGCCGAACGCTTCGAAAAAACTAAGGGAAGTTTATAACGATGCCTGAAGAAGTCCTCTTTAAAGTTTTGACCTCACCTGGTAGTTGTCGACGGACCGATCCGACAGCACCAGTTGGTCCGCCATGTTGGTGTGTGGGTCCATCATGATCTTGTGCGTGGTCTTGCCGAAGGTCTCCCCGATGCGGTAGCGCCATTGGGGGACGTAGCCGGTGTAGCTGAGAGGCAGAGACCATGTCAGACAACATGTCAGAGGCCGTGTCAGAGAAGACCGAGTCAGAGACCGAGTCAGAGAAGACCGAGTCAGAGACAGGGACCAGTAACTTACACTTTGACGTTACGTTACAAAATACATAGTGTACCGATCAAGTTTCGTTCTCTTGTCGTTACGGTAAAAATAACGGTAACAGAACTGGTCCATCATCGGTTTGGTTACAATTTGTAACCAGTTCGGGCCGGTTCCAAAAAAAACGTTTCATGGAACGAACTTTTAACAAACTTTGAGATGTAACGTTACGAATCGTACCGACACGAAATGGTAAAAGCCACTCTGTTACAATTTGTAACGTTACGGGTCTGAAACTGTCCCTGAAAAGACATAAGTAACGTTACGAATAACACAACAATAACGGCCGCAAAAGTTACGTTACAAAACTTTTTCCCCCGACGCATGTGCCACCGCCACGCCACCGCGGGCGACTTGGGCCTAAGGCTCGATCACCACCTACCACCACCTCGACCCACAGCCACACGGAGTGCTGGGAACAAATCCATTCCTTCGCCTTCCTCCGCCCGCATCCAGGGCAAATTCAGTCAAGGCCGGAGCTCAAACAAAGAAACTTAAAAGCATTTCCCCTGCCCGGTGCTGAACCCCCGACTGGGAAGCGGCTGCCCAAGACGCTCTCCACTGAGCCAGAGCGGATCTCTGGAGCGAGCGGGCAGCGCACCGATCTGGTTCGCTCGCCAGTCGCCGCTGGCCACCGCTTGCCGGAAGGAATTCGCGAGCGGATGACAGCGGTGCGCTGCCCGTCGCCACCAGCGATGCGCTGTAGTCCAGTGGAGAGCGTCCGAGTCAGCCATCCACAAGGTCGAGGGTTCGACACCGGGCATGGGATATGCTTTTAAGTTCCTTTCTTTGAGCTCCGGTCTTGACTGAATTTGTCCTGTATGCGGGCGGAGGAAGGCATCAGAGCTCTGCAAAAGTCGCCTCGTCGACCGACCGAGCTCGACCGGGAGGCGGTCGTCGGCACCGACCGCGTGCGTGCAGGTGAGAGGTGAGGAGGGGAGACAGAGCGGGTGTTTGTCTCACCTCTCACCTGAACGCGGTCGGTGCCGACCGCCTGCCGGTCGATCTCGGTCGGTAGACGAGGCGATTTTGCAGAGCTCTGGAAGGCATGGATTTGTTCATATCACTATGGATTAGACCAGGGGATTCTCTGCGCAGCCAGCGACAATCCAGGCGAAGTCCATGGTGCATTCAGCCGTTTCTCTCGGGAGGGCGTAGGTGTAGCTCCGGGTCGAGGCGGTGGTGGTAGACATCGAGCTCGAGGCCCGAGACGCCCGCGGAGACGTGGACGTGGCACCTGCAATCTTGTCCGACTGGGAAATTTTTGTAACGTAACTTTTGCGGCCGTTATTGTTCCGTTATTCGTAACGGTACATCTGTTTTTTTCTTGGACAGTTCGGATCTGTAACGTTACAGAACGTACCTCTATAATGTAACGTAACTGCCTGCATCGGTTTTGTGTAACGTTACATTTGTCACGAACATAATAACTCAGACGCACGGTCTGGATCGTATTTTGTAACGTTACAAAAAATGGAACTGTACAAAATGTAACTTTATTCGGTTACTGTTACGTATCATGGAACTGCACATATGCTCAATTAAGTTATTGGTGCGGTAACGTAACGGAAAACTCCCAGAAAATAACGTTTAATTTGTTATGTTACTGGTCCCTGGTCAGAGACCGCGTCGACCGTGTAAGAGGGCAGGGGAGCGTGCACCGCCGTTTAAATTTTTAAGGAGCATTACAAAACCGCCGCATTAAGTTTTTGAAAGTGTCATCAATTTTGTCTGCCAACAATTCGCGGGACAGGTACTATACTTCGTCGATAAAATGTGCACATTTGTTTTGAGCGAAGCTGCTTTTGGCGGCCGTAACATGACCCCGTGTTGCCAGCCCCTCCACCCAACTGAACTCACCCCGGCACCATGAGCGGCTGCGGTGTTTCGAAAAGGGCCACCGACATCGTGACGCTGGAGCGGTGAGTTCACTTTGCAATTTAGAGATAACGTTTGCCGTAAAGTGGTGGTGTGTTTTTGCCGTGTACTTTTTTTTTCTTTTTTTTTTCTATTTTTTTCTCATCTCCTCCCGGAGTGGGAGGTGATGCGGAGAGATAACTTCGAATTTTGAACAATGGGACCAGACCGAAAGGGCGCTCTTGCCTCCTAGCAACCCGCGCCGCCGGCCCCGCCGTGCCGCGGCCGCCGAGCAGCGGAGAGTGGCAGAGAGATGTTTCATGCCGATTTCGAAAAAGTTGTAACTGCCGCCTTCGACGGGTTGCCAAGTCACATGTTTGTCGCCGGCGCCGAGGCCGCCGAGGTCTCTCCCTCTCCGTGTAGTCCTTGCTCGCGCCCCCTCTGCCCTCGCCCCCCGGCGCCCCCGCGGTGATTCTTCCACTCTCGCCGTTCAGTTTACATGCCTGCTTCCTCCAGTCCGGTGCCACCAGTGCCACTATACCGTCCTGACGGCGGGTCGCGACCCTTCCCCCTTCCCCCCCCCCCCTCCCCTCTGCCCGGGACGGGGCGCGGAGCCCGCCGCGAAACAAAAGAGCAGCGTGCCACATGGCGGCGCGTCGTGCAGGGGCCGCGTCCGGGGCGGCGCGAGGCGCGTCCGGGAGCGACGCCAAAGCCGCGGCGCGACGACGTTTGCCCCAGTTCCCGGTCCCGCGGAGGGTTCCGGAGGCCAGGGCGGCGGCGAGCTCGGAGTCACCGGGCCGAGCAGCAGCGTCGCTTCCGGCGCCGCCCCCTTCGCCGCCCGGGTCCCTCCGGTCCGCCCTTTGCGACATATCAGAGCTGCGGCGTCGCACTGCGTCTCGTGGCGCGCTGTCGAGCACCTTCTTCCCTTTGCGTCCTGCTGGTATACTGCAGCGCATTATCAACTAAATTTGGGGAGCATGAGAACGTTTGTTTGTTTCGTATTCGTAGACACACTGCGTGCCATTTCTGACCAGCCTTGAACATCGCGACCCCGCTTAGCCCGGGGGTTCGGACGACGCTACCGGCCGC